TTGGAAGAACGGCGGTTAAGGGAGTGTTCGGGCAAGTGCAGGAAGGCGACGCAATGTCTGCAATAGCAGACAACACACCCAAGAAGACAACTTCGCCCAATGCGAAAGTGATGATTGGCAATTAGTTTCGTAGTCAGCCTAGCGAGGCGCGGAGGCCTCCCGTCCCCCACTGTTCCTGCCCTTATTGTGCCCTATCCAGACCGTTTTCCGACCTCATTCCTGCACAAATGGTATCAGAGGGGGCATCGAATTCAAACCATGTGCAGATCTCCGGAATCATTTTTTCGTGAACAGTGCCTTTAAGCAGTGTGAAAATGAATGACGAATGCCTACGAAGGCTTATCCCAAATGCGAGCTTGATACTACAGGAAACTGTATTGACGGAATCGTGGAGCCAAGAAACTAGTCAAAAGTCAGTGTTTGATTACAAAATTGATAAAATTCTCACTTAGGGGTGCCATTCGGGGTGGTGTAAGTGGTCTGGTAGATTCCTCCAAGACTGTTGCTGATGAGGCCGATGTAGCCTACCTGAAGTTCAAGTTCATTTCTATGTGGACTGAGATAACAAGCAAAATTAGTCTAGTCGGTATTAGCATTCACTGACCTTGAGCAAGATTTGTTGGTCTTTTTCCAGTTGGTTTTTGAGAAGAAACTCAACCTTTTCCAGTCTTGGGTGCTCCTTTACACTTTCAATTTCAAGTTTTTTACCGCCCTAAAGTAATCAATTCAATTACTTTGATCGCTACCTTACTTCTATTGTTGGTAACCTCGGAAAATAGAACTTGACGGCCCAAATTTCCTTTCATTCAATTATCATCTGAATACACCTATTCGTTCCCGTATCAGTGTTTAGGGTACTTTGTGGCACTTAGCACAGACGGGATCTCCTACAAAACTGCTCCGACGACCTTCTACTTTACAAAACACCCTATTTTCTTTCCGCACACAACTTTTGAAGTTCCTATCAATTATGTGAATGTATTTTAAGGACCTTCCAAAACATTTTGAGCTCGGACCTCCGAAAAACGAATTGTATCTTGCATATTATCTACAATGGAAATTTCTCTTTCCTCGACCACCACCCGTAGCTCGGCGGCCAGGATATTTGTCCATGGCGCACGGCTAGCCTTTTTTCTAGCTCTAAAGGCACAGATCACGATAGAAATGGTTTCTGAGATTTCCCCATGGGATGTATTTAAAGCACCCCTTATACAATTTCTGGCACTATTAGGTTGGAAAACGACCTAGTTAGGGAGTTATAAAGGCTCAAAGATTGGCCAGTGCGTATCCTCGGACGAGTTTCATCGGCATTGTAGAGGCTGCACCGATCACAAGGGAACCCATGTAGGAAGTTCAAACAACTTGTCGCAATTTTGGCCTGTTGTAGTCAGCTCATTGTGCTACTGCAACAACTGAAATCTGGTCCGAACACCCCTTCCATGTTATTTCCGTCATGGCAATCTCGTCCAATCTCTATTTTCCCTCTTTTGAGGAGTCATATTTTCTCGAAATCGGCGAATTCTCTCGCTTTCTTCACTATTGATGAACTACTTCCAATCTATACTTCCGCTTTTCGAATAAAAATGGGTACCTCAAAATTATCGTGATCTGTGCCTTTAATTGGCATTGAACTATGTAATTCATGAAAAGCCGCTCTTTCAGTGGGTCATACTTATAGGGGACCTAAACGCTGTGCTCGAATTCTACTTTCATCAGTCCAAGTATGAGCATCAGTACATATGATAGAAGCCGGTCATGAGCAACTGGTTTGATGTAAGTAGGAAGCAACCGAAAAGCCGAAATCGATAGAGAACTGATGCTGGCGAAAAAAAACGTCCTTTTTATCAAAATGAGTATTTAGGACCCCCAATCAGCTCCCCTCATCAAGGTGCAGGGGTCTGAATTTGCTTTTGGAAAGTTTTTCAGGAGCTTTATTCTTGGAACTTAGCGATGGTTGCTTCACAGTGATTAAAATATAGAAATCTCTTTTGCTTATCAATTTATATGAGAAGCACGTCAATTCAGTTCTGAAGGAAGTAGCCGTCTTTGCAGGTCCACAGCACAACCACTTCACTGCAAAATCAAAATGGGTAGACTTACCGATACCAGTTCACATTCCTGGGGTATCACAGAGATCTTCTTTGAATTGAGCACGATACTCTTTGTTGGCTCAATTACCACCATTGATATTTCCACCCGCCCATCAAACGTGAGGTTCTTCTCTGGTGGGAAGTCCACATAGCCAGGTAGATATGTTTTGATCGTCAAATCGTAAGACACTGAAAAAATCAGTGAAAAAATCGATTGGCAAGAGGGTAGTTCTCTATTTACATTTCCTTTTTTGAGCGGAGGATGTGTATAAATGGTCCAAAGTCCATTTTCCTAATTATCAGTAGTTTTAGCACTAAGCGGCTTGTCTAAATAAGTCCCTAAATTGACCTACTGATTTGGCTTTGAACATGGAGATTGTGCCTGGGAATGAATCTCTTCAAGAGTTTCTATCACCCAAATATGTTGTATCAAAGTTGGCAGAATGGGCGGATTGAACTTGAAGCCATCTGATCGAAAATTTTCTAAAAACCCCATTCCTCTAGGGCTAGTGGCAATCGGAATGAGGAAAGGGAAAGGGAGGTGGGAGCTCTGGAATCCCTTCCCCTCCCCCTCCCAAAGCTGCAATTCTTTTCCTGACTGTGAGGACGAAATAACCAAAAAAATCATGACGTAATACTCACATGGTTTTATGTTGGTTGGAAGAAGTAGTTCCGCCGCAGAGGGAGAGTTATCTTTGTCTTTACCACCACTATCATCTCTGGAAATACAATTTGGAGTTCGTTTCTCATCTGAAAAGTTTATCAGAACTTTTAGAGTACGGGGGAGAGGAGCATACACTTACTTCCCTGGTTTTTCTGAAGTATCGAACGCTTTCCGAGTGAAGTAATAGGTGAGGCCGATAGAGAGGCCGACTGCAGCAGCTACTAGAAATAATGCGAAAATTAGACGGATTGGAGTCAAATTCAGCAATGTCCGCGTTCTCCCCTGCGACGTCATCTAGATGGAGACCCTGAAATGAGCTGAAGCTTTGAATCAGTTCAAGCGTGGACTTTGAAGAAGCCCAAATGGGACGTCGCCAAAAAATGTCCGAGTGGTTTCAAGCGAGCATACAGTAAGAAAAAGAAACTGGGTAGAATAATATTGAAAATCGACCATTGTGAAGAGAAAATCGAAGTGCAGAAGATCAAAGTTCAAGACAAAATGGAAATTGCTCGAAACAGAAGCGAAATAACGGTTTTCGTCGGTAGGCATATGTGCAGAGAGTGCTGGAAACAACAATTCCCAAACGGTTCCTTAACCACATCGCTTCTTAGGGAGTGTGGCCACAGCGAACTATGTTCGATGACGTCCTATAAGAAATCTGATAACACATGATGTAATCAGAAATGCCATGATTCCTGTTATCACGCTTTTTTAAGGCTACATTTCATTACGTGTCCTACATCTTGAGGCTTCAGAAGCCTATTTCTTTGGGTCGTATCTGCTGCCTTGTTTGAATAAAAGCCAGTGACCCTTGCTTTTCATGTTGCAGTCGCCCACAATGGACCCTGAATGAATCGGATCAATTACCATCTCCATTTTTTTTATGATCAGTTATCGGGACCGGTCTCTTTGAGAGGATTAAATACTGACGTTTTGATCGGCTTTTCAGTCTTGCAAACGAATACGTAAGTGATATTCTCGTAAGTGAAGCACCACGGCCTTGGGAGAAGGTACAGAGCTGTCACCTAAGAGAGCCAGAGAACGGTTTTTTGCACTTTATTCTTCTCCTATGCGATTACAGCTGTGCGATTGAGCTTTCTAATAAGGCCAATAGAGAACCAAGCAAAAAAGAGGTCTAGAAGCCGAGAAGTGCATACCATAACGATGTTTTCGAGCTGCCGTCTGATAAAAGATGGAACTGATGTGTCAGATTGCAGTTGACTGCGCTTCTGTCTAATATGACAGTGAGATAGGTAGGGCATTGACATTAAGAATAGCAAGAAACTCGGGCACGAAGGCGATGACATCGGAAAGCTGCCTTTTAAATGAACTAGGGAGCAGAATGTCTAGAGTATATAATGGCGATATGACTGGGATGAGTGCTTTTTGGAATGCAGGGTGATGGGGCACAATTTCGTCGGGAATTTGCATATCGTATGCATGTCAGACCATCCTTCTGAATTCTCGACAACTTACTTTTCATTTTTTCGGAACACTAAGTTAGTTTTGCTAGAAACGACTTACCGTAGCTCTCTATTACCCAAAAAACTAGCCTCCTGAAGGTTTGTGTGAACAAGAAGCTCACCGGGAATCGATGAAAGTAGGCTGTTAGTGGGTGTTTTCGGAGTTTAACGACGAGCATTGTTTCGACCGACCGACTACCGACCGACGGCGTTCCTGACCACGTGTTGACAAGGTTGGACCGATGGATACTGCTTATGCCGCCCTGAACACAATCTGTCTTGCGTTGCCAACAGGTAACCTGCGATACCATCGGTCGGTCGGTCGGTCGATTGCATGTCGTTGAACTCTGAAAGCACCCAGCCACTTAGCCCTCGAGACCTATCACCAATCAATAGACGTCAACCATTAATTTTTATCAGATAACTAATCTCAACAATCGAGACAATCAATACAATCAAAAGAATGACGAGCAAAATCGATGCAGTAGCAGAATAGGGTAAGTGATCAGAGCGAAACAGGCTACAAACGAGTATAATCACTGGGCTCGGAATCAGATATAAATGATGTGAAGAGTTAACAATTCGATGAAGTGAGAAAAGCATGAACACTGAGCATTCCAGCTGAGCTTCAAATTATTGCAAACTATTGAACCCCGCCCCATAAAAACCATCGGAATGATAAACATTTTCCTTGTTCTTTGAGGGTAAACATCAATCACACTTTTTTTCTGAAAATTCCTTCCTAACCATACCAGAACTATATACATTGCAAATTCAGAAAAGTTACGAGGTAGCGTTCTTAAAGAATGAGGCTAATTTTTTGAAATGTTTTTTAATCCAATCGACTTTGTGCTCTGCTCGTTCAATTTCTTTGACAAACGTGCTGTATTCTTGAGCATGAATGCCATTTTTGTGAAGATTTCTCAGCTGAAAACGGCAGTAATTTTCACCAAAACTTCGAATACGGCAGTGAATTTCAAACTAAACTGAAATGGTCTTATCGTCTTTACAACTGATTTGATAGAATTTTCTTTTAAATTACATATTTTGACCAGAGCCTAGGTGAATTTCACTCAGGGAAAACCTTCTCATACAGTAGGGTACCAAGCCGGTTAATGAAAAGGCCCTGTGAACCCCTTGCAGATAGGAGGATAAATCGTCAAGTGTCAGGCGAATGTTCTGATACACTAAGGGACCTAGAGGATCCTCTTCCTTGTGCTAAGCCAAGGCGACTAAAACTTCCTGACTTATTATAGATGAATCTGTGCATTGGAGTGTGCTGTCAGCATCCCCTCAAGGTTCGTACAAAATCAATCGGGATTCTAGCAAACGATCCCGTATTCCATTCGGGCATAGTGCGCCCAACCACCCGATTCATGAGCGCCCAGCGGCAGAGATAGATGATCTAGCTCAAAATGGTTGCAGTGAAGCAGGGAGGGGATTCGAGACAGGGAAAGAATCCAAAATAACAGGGTCTTCAGTGTGCCTCTTCCTTTTTCTTGTGCAAAACTCTCATGATAGGAAAAACAATGCCACGTTTAGTTTGTGATTGTCTGCGTACTCCTTCAAGATAACGTTCGGTCGTGTTCGATTGAAGCTAATAAGGCCTCTTCCGAGGGGATTCAAAATAAACGAGACACTGTCATGAGAACGTCAATCTTCAAGGGGTGTAATCCCTCTACCAAGGCTAATGAACCTCACCCAATAGGGACTCTACTTCCTATGCAGGAACGCCTCCGAAAGATAAACGCATGGGCCGCCCAGGTATCAAGCCTGAAAAATCGACCACGCCATCCACAAACTGAACGAAACGTGAAGCATCTTTGTTCCAGCCCATTCCTAGACCGAAGAAGCTTTGAAACATGGAGGAGCGAAACCTTCTCGGCCGCCCCTGCGCACCTGTCTGTGGACATCGATCCGCATAAAAAGTTGGTATTCCATATCGGTCGGCAGCTATCGCGAGACATATTGTTCAGCCACAACCATATGACTTTACAGGACGCCCCAAAATTAAGGGCGCTCAAATTCAAAAACTTCTAATAGAACTAATTTGTCATATTCACTCCAACCGCTATTGTTTAGTTGCATAAGAAGCCTTCCTGTAATATGCATCGTTACTGAAGTGAAACTCCCACTATCTTCCAGATGGCCGAGTCTCATTCAATGCCACATGCAATCATTTTCATACGAGGCAGAAGGGACCTGTGAAATTTCCTGTGATTACAATAATATCTGTACAGAAGGCCATTAAACGATACAGTGAAGAAGGCTTGATCAAAAACAAACCAGCAATGGGTAGAAAGGCCAGTGTTTCTGAAGACAAGATTATTGCGGTGGCCCGTTTTCGAGTTGATCATGATTCTGGACGGAAAAAGAGCAGGAACTATCAAAGTTGTCGCTGAGATGGATTGTCAAGCAAAAGCTTGACTGCTACATATCTATCATATGCAGGAATGCTGATCTCAACAGACAGTGTACGGCCAAATATGCAGAATGTTGCCAAGTCACTTGAATGGAGACACGCAACCTTCATCGTTTCCTCCGCCTTAAAAATTCCCACGTCAGAACCATTTCTAAAGATCTATAAAGATCGAACGGGCAATCCCACATAAGAAAAAGGTTGAAACATGAATAGCCAAATGATTTTTTTGAGTGAGTCACTAACAAGGGTAAGACGCTCGTAGTTTCGGAGTGAAAACTGACAAAGACGTGTACTCAAAGTCATAATGAAGCGCTGATCCGACTTCGTTTCCTAAAACAGCTCGTAGTCCTTCCAGCGCGACGATACTCCAGCCCATAGTGCCCGGAATGGTACCGACGCTAGCTGCCCTACTTCGTTAGCAAAGAAGAACTGCCTTTCTGCTTTCCAGATCTTAACTCTATTTCTGATTAGAATAGCACCTGTCGAGTTTGCAGTCTCGGTTTGGAGTCCTACAAAGGAAGACTCAAGAACGGCTGGAAAAAATGGAGAATTTATGCGTGCAACATGCGAGGAAACGAGCGCAAACTTTGAGCCTCTATCCGTACTCACAGGGGATTTTCTGGAATGTGATTGTAGGATTTTTTAGGACATAAGGTCAGCAAATACACATATAGAATCTAACGTCATTCCCGGCCTAGAAGCTTCAAACACATTGCCATGAATTGGCGCCCATAATTTTGGGACACCCTGTGGGAGAACGTCTATTTGGAAACCCTTCAATCAATACGCCAGTGTAGATCTATGCAAGCTGTAGGCGTGGACAACAGCTCTCTGGCCAGATATTGCCTCGGAACCAAATTAGGAAACTCTCATGTTGACTACAAACCGGATGCATACCATTATCCACACCCACTTTTCCTTACTTATTTCCCATTCCGAAATCCCTGACAAAATCTTCTTCCATCACCGCATCTTCTGTCTACTTGTAATTATGAGGCCTTATTTGAAATATTAAATCTTGATGTAATATATAACTGTATAATAATAAAAGTTGACGTAGTTCCAATGCGGAATCTTAAAAAGGCGACCTGATCTATTTGCTGTTTGGAACGAATGCCTGATGTACATGGTGGTATCACTCTTTCAACATATGTCGGTTCTGATCCTATGCTGAAATGAAAGAATTCACCGAACTGATAAAGAACAGCAACAATCAGCTCAACTTTTTCTCTCCAATACGCTTTACAGTTTTGTTGCGAGCTCAAAATAATTCTCGAAGGACTGTGAGGAGACGACAGCATACAGTACAAATGACGACAGTACAAATGTATGTGTGTGTATGTATGTATGTATGTATGTATGTATGTATGTATGTATGTATGTATGTATGTATGTATATATGTATATATGTATGCACCTATTTATTCATGTACTATGAATATCATCATTCCTAGGAAATGGTTCGATCTGTGGATAATACCCGAATAAGCAGGATGCAGTCAACGCATACCATCGAATGGACGGAGGTGTTATAATTACCACACACACAAGATCCGGGGATCCACTCTCAAATCGATATGCTCCTAATAAACTGAGCATTTCATCCCTGCGGGGTCAATTAATTGGTTCCAGACTCGTCTGGGAAATAAAAGCACTGTAATGTGCATTGGCTTACCGCTTCGTTACTGTATAGGCCACACTTGAAACAGTGCGCCACTACATTCTGAATGGAAGTCGAATGCAGGGCGCACCTCTCAGCAGGTTTAATTAACGAAAAGGACTTTGGACTTCAGACATACAAGTGAGGATATCATGACAGGCAGTAAGCAGAAAATGGACCATTAACAGCTGTGATAGGGATACGCTGGGGTTAGAAATAAAATGTGGACGGCTTATCGTGGATCCGCTTAAACCCGTATCAATGATGGATGTGAATTCGAGAATCACCTCGGACGATGAGATTGTCGCCCTAGACGACCTCAGAACGTGTTGGCTTCAAAATATGAGCTACTCATATGAAATATATTTGAGGGAGAATCAAGAAAATACCGAAAAATAGCATTTTATTATTGAGAATCAAGAAAATACCAAAAATAGCATTTTATGATACTTCCACGTATTAGTTCTGAAACGCCACACAATTCAACATACCTTCCAATAATATCTCCCCATCTCTCTATGAGGAAATTGAACATGAATTCTTCGCCAACAGGATTTGCGGCTACAGCTTGGAAGGCGTTTGGGATATCCTGAAGACGGACAAATGACGAATTGCGATCCACCGCAAGTAGAAGAAGGCTGGAATTTAGCAAAGTAAAGGATGAGTGAACCGAAGTACACGAGAACATCACATCACAGTTTCACATTCGTCATTTCAGTGAAAGAGTTCTCAAAAGTAAGCGGGAGATCCAGATAATTGTTAGCTGCCTTTACATATCCGTTTACGATGTTACAGAATTTACCTGTGTTCACCTACTTTTTAGGTTGAAATAAAAAATTACAAGCAATAGAGCCTTATAAGGTAATAACGACTACTAACAACAAAATTCGATCACTACTCGTGTTACGGTGCCTAATTTTTTCGCTCAAGGGACTCCATGAAACGAAATATGAACTGTGCATGACATAGACAACAGGACGGTGGCAAGTGGAAGTCGGGACCCACTAAGGAGTGTGTACTACACTGAGTTCATTCTAAGAATGCCTCTGCTCAGTTTGCCTCAGATTGGACATTTCAGTGCCACTGCATCGTAGGTAAGAAAGTAATGACGTAAGACGTCGGAAGGGCTTAGGTGCAGCTATCAAACTGATTTTCTAAAAGTCTCGATAAAGCTATGATTCCAATAAATTTTAAATGTAGCAGCTCCAGTGAAAAGCTTCACAGAGTTTTTTGAATTTTTCTTCCTGGTCTGTTAGATTCCTACGACTTTTGGCCTAGGATTTCCGAGTTACTGACACCGGTGTGTGTTGCTATCTTGTGATGATCAATCTCGCACTCTGAAGGCACCACATCACCCCTATTAAGATCACCCGACCGGAGCTGGTGAGTTGTATGGAGTTGAAGATCATGCTCTACCTATGATATAATACCTTTAAGGTTTTTCTTTGTTGCGTTCACCGCAAGCAGACGTTTTTCTTTAGAAATGTAAATCAAAGTTGCAATCATGTTTTGGGGAAACGAAAATGAAGTTGAATATTAGAAAAGCTTTCTCTGGAAGTGTAACGCATATGCTAGAAAATCTTACCCTTTCAGAGCTGTAACATCCCTGTGGCAGCCTAATGCTCGGAGGAGCATATCCTTTTCCAGTTGAACAGTTTCTTTATAATATAGTGCCTTTACCTGAAATACTTAACTATAATGGGTATGCTGTCAACAATGGGCAACAACAGTGCTGATGGATGAGACCAGACTCCTTCAACTTGGTAGGAACTCTGCTAGGCAGGGTAAAATTCAGAGACTGAATGTTCATTTTTAACATGAATTTCCGGTGGCTCGATAGAGAAGGACAGTGCGCTATTTGTTTTAAAGGCACAGTTCACGATAAAAACGGTTTCTGAGATTCCCCACAGGATGAATTTGAGGCCCTCGCGTATACCTTATCTTATCTGGCACTATTAGGCTGAAAAACGGCCTAGTTAGGGGGTTGTAAAAGCTCAAATATTGGCCCGTGTGTGTCCTCGGACGAGTTCCAGAAACATTGTGTAGGCTGCACCGATCATAAGGGAACCCATGTAGAAAGTCCCAACAACTTGTTATGACCCATAGCGACAGCGAAAAACAGTTTTGCTCAGTTCTGGTCTGATTATTCAGCTCTTTGTGCAATTACAGTAACTGAAATCTCGTCCGAATACCCCTACCATGATGCTTTCGTCATGGCAATCTCGTCCATCCTCTATTCTCCCTACCTTTGAGGAGCCATATTTTTCTCGAAATCGGCAAATTCTCTCGCTTTCTTCTCTACCGATGAACTATCCCCAATCTATACTTCCGCTTTTCGAATAAAAACGGGTACCTCAAAATTATCGTGAACTGTGCCTTTAAAGCAGACCGCAGACCTTCAGTAGATAATTCGTGCTCGTGCGATCGTGGATTTCTCAGCCCAAGCCGGTGCCTAAGCCTCATCGGATGCTTTCGCGAACAAAGGAGGCCATAGATGAATTCAGCAGATTCGTTGCAAGAAGACTATATACGTTGTTTGAAAGCTACCTTTTCGAATGCGTAAGTTCCACCTGCCTTCACACCATTGCAGTAAACACTCGATCGAAGAGGAGCAGCGACACTAAAATGAACCACGATCAAAGTCTTAGAAGCAAGTTTGCTATAGAGAAACCCCTCTGTTGTTATGACTGCTTTCGCGTTCTGTACAGGAACTCTCTCGGGTACCTCAAAAAGCTTTCGAAAATTTCGGGAGTTGTAGCAAATCTGCTTTATATGTGGGTCAGCGAGACATTGAAGTGTTCTGTTCTGATATAGGGAACTAGTGAGATTATCAGGGTCTTTAAGGTTTTTCTGAGTTCCTCTACGAGTCATTGAGTTTTCCTGCTTTGCACGACAATGAGGCGTTAATTTTGTACTGGAAATGCCTTTCAATCTGAGAATTGACACTATTGTAGAACCTCAACCATTTCGAGAGGGCAGGCGAGGAAAGTGCAGGATATACAGACATTTACCACAGAATAAACTGTAACCTACGAGGCCGAAATTGAACAAATGAATCCAAGGAAGGAACACTTACCTCACGCATTTGGTTGCTTCATCACCGTCATTACACTTTTCCATAACTTCACGATCAAAGATATCTTTGTACTTCTTCATACAGTCCTTTGATCCAAGAGCACAGTACGCATCAATGATATCTTTTTGCAGGTTGCTAAAAGAGGAAATGTGCTAATAATCAGTGGACTTGATGGTTTCTGAAGAATTGGTAGGTTGCGGAAGATTTTAGGGCATATTTTACTACGCTAGGTTGTTTGCCGTCGATAAAATTACTTAGAACAGGTTAGAAGTACGAGTTGACGTCTGGGAAAGATTGCAGCCTTCAGGTCTCATGAAGAGTTACTCCTATATTTGTATCCTCTTTGCTCAAACCTTTACTCTCTTGTAATGGCGAAGAAAGAGGAAATCTAGTGAATCTACTGTAATTGCTGGTTGTAAAATATGATAGTGAATGTACTTGTCCTCACATTTTAGAGAATAACGTGTCATCCTTGTACTTAGCGGCAATGTAACCCAAATCACTCTTCTTATACATCGGTTCCAAAATTTTCATCATGTAAGCCTGAAGATACAATAAGGAAAAAGATTTCAAACGTTTCAACCGATCTTGTCGGACGTACTTCGGCTGGCTTCGACTCCGGCTCGTTACCAAAGAATTTTAAGACGGCGAATATTCCAGAAATTGCTTCTGTCCAAGGAATGAACTCCTGAAAATAGCTTCTAAAGGAACCATCGTGTGTTGACATTTACCTAAAATCAAATCAGAACCTCTTCGTTTACAGCGTATTTAAGTAGTTCAAATACAGTCTCGTACTCGATTGCATTGATAGAAGCCAATGCAAATGCATCACTTATGATAGCATTCCTTGTTCGTGGACTGAAGACCTGGAAAAGATGTTTTGAGCCAAGTGGAATGCATTTAAGCTTCAAATTACTCAATGACTGAGAAGTCGAAGGCCTAGAAGGAGGTGACGTTTGCACAGTTCAGTGCCGGTATCACAACACCATGTAGCCAAGCATTGGCAGAGCCGTAATTCATCGGGAAGTAATTCCCCAAGGGAGTTTAGCCTTAATTACAAAAAGAGTATCGGTTCAGGAGGTCCCGTATTTCCTGTAGCTGGAATCATGCACATCAGTGCCCATGATCAGATACATACTGTAGCGATACCTTCATCTATTACCTGATATTACTCGATTTTACTCTATCTATTTTGTCTAGTATACCTTATGATTTTCCCTGAGCTGCTTGATTATCTTTCTCCAACCGTCGGCATCGTAATTTTGTCGATAGAATCCATGACGATCGGCGTTAACCACGAAGGGTTTGGTAAGGTCATTGACGTGCAGATAAAGCGGTTCTTCTATAAAATTTTTCTATATGAGGGTTATGTCGATCATAAGTAAAAGAAATCTAATCAAGAACTGGTTAATAGAAAAATTAAAAAATTATTTTCTTGATTCCCTAGTTACGTTCTATACCTTGGAAAAACATGGTATTTCTTTGTGAATGGGTTTTCTGAAAATTCTACATTATGGTATCGGCAGTATTGGATAGTAAACTTGCGAATGTTTTAGCAATAGTAGCAACGTAATGTCAGACTGCTCAGAATTTTCACGTTGTGGAAGACCTAGCCTTACAGTTACGCTAATAGTAATCAACATATGAAGGCTTGGCTGTAGTTGTTTTTGAGTTTAGCTTAGATCTAACAGGCAATGATCCTCAACTTCCATATAGTTAAAGTTTTCACTGCGGTCGTCCAAAAATGGGCTCCAACTGACTCTCCTGTAGCAACAGCAGCACTCCTTCCTCTTTATACGTCTAAACTTACGCCTTAGATTAAGTGAATTGATATCAATTGATCGATCGTCTCAACAACTTCTGTAACAACCCAAACAAAAAATTCTGACTCTGACTCTAAGCAAAACCCGAAATTTTCATTTTTCATCCAATGGTGACTAGGCTACGAGTATTCCAACACTCCTTGCTATAAAGCCCTACAGCCCACAGAAGTTTCCTGGTTTCCTGAGTATCATTTCCAGTCTATTTATATGGGTCACCTATCCAATCTTACTTGACTCTGTCTACTTGTCTTGAAGCAACGCTGCCTTGAACACGTAGGAATTCTGGCAACTTCTTGGTACATTTATGTTTATTGAAGAAATCAACTGTTCTGTTTTTTTGAAAAGTGCAAACCGAAAATTTCAAAACAGTTCACATTTTTTCTGGAAATGATCTCTCCTTCACCTTCTGAAGTATTCCTTTACCAGTACGGTTGTATACTAATACTCTTCATCTCCTTTCCTTCGCAAAGAAGGCGGCCTTCACCTCTTCCAATCCTGTATCTATGAAGATCAAGGATTTTGCAGTTGGATCAGTTGCTGAGGCGATCGATCAGTTGATATCAACTGATCGATCGTCTCAGCAACTTCGAACACAAACGGGAATTTGTTCAAGACTCCCACCGAACTGTACGAGAAACAGTATTTTTGGGTGAATGGGCCACCATAGCTGGCTGATGGGAATTACAGATTTCCTTCAATCACTCCGTCCAGAAAGTAAAAAAATAGGTTCAATAAGGTTAAGAGGCTTTGACCACCTGAATTGCCTTGCGGGAGGTACTGTGTCAGGGAACGGCGGGTGTTTGAATTTTTTCTGACGTTGAATTGAAGTCAGAAAAAGGAACAGAAAAGGAATTTCTTCAAGATCAATGAGGTGAATGGACAAGAAGCTCTACCAGGAAGGTGGGAATCGCAATGGGGTTGTCTAGGAAGGGAAGGTTGCGGTTTGACGGCTTCAACCGAGCTCTTCCATCTGCTGAGGCTTTCCTATACCAGTACGGGTGGTATACTAATACTCGTCACCTCACTTCCTCCTCAATAAGGGTGGCCTCCACCCTTCTGGATCCTTTCTTCTCCAAAGAGATTGAGCAATATGCGCTTGGAGCACCTTATATAAAATCAACTCATCGGTCGCCACAGCTCCTTTACACCGAACCGGAATTTTTTGAAGATTCCCACTGAACTACATGAAAATAGCAAATTTGGGAGAATCGACCACCTTTGCAGATTACTGGGAATTGCAGATTCGTTCCAATCACTTTCTGGTAAAACTAAATAAATAGGCCCAAATTAGGTTAAGAGTCTTTGACCAGCGGAGCAGCTCTGTGGGAGGTACGGAGTCAGGGAACGGCGGGTGTTTGAATTTCCTTGACTTTGAACTGAGGTCGTCCACAAGGGGGAGTTCTCTACGACTGAGGTAAATAGATAAATAGTAAATATTAATGTTAGGTAGTATGTTACGCACACACAAGCGGGGTAGGGTCTCTATAAGGTAATTTCTAAAACATTCTTGAGAAAAACTGGACCGTTGCGAAATTTTCGCTAGATACTCTGCAGTGCAATATATTCAAGAGGTTGACGGAATTTATGCCCTTTTTTGCTGGGTTTTATGAGTGATGGTACAATTATCTTTCGTCAAATGTAAAAAATGACTCGACTAGTTTTACTTTCGCGTCATACCTCTGATGCATCGCTTTCAGTCCTCTTCTATTGAACCTTAGTTTCCAGTGATTTTTTTCACAACTCATGTTTACTCTACACAATATGAAGTCAAGAAACTACTGTATTTCCAGCAAATCAGCTTCATACCTCTCCTTATCCAGGTTTGCTTTACTTCTTTGTTGTCACCTTCCTGATACCACAGAGGAATATCCCACTTGAATCTGTAAGGGAACAGATAGACTGGCGATCTCTCAGACAACCAGGTTAAAGATTATAATGTAAAGAAATGTTACAGACCCATATTTCGGATGGCGATATTTTTCTGGTTCCTTAGCGTCTTTATTGGTCTTGAATCGACTTTGAGATATTTTCACAGACGTGGCATTGAACGCTTCCACCGTTACCAATGGGAATCCCATCGAAAAAAAAGGAAAGGATGTTTTCTATCTGAACTATTGCAGCAGCTTTACATGATTTGGAAACGAAATCTACCTGAGTTGTCCATTGGTCGGCAAATGCTGTAGTTTTCATGGGTTGGCCATCGGGGCCCTTGACATCTGTGACTACTTCATCGAATACTTCCCATAGATCCGACGCTTGTGCATTACTGTACGAGAACTTCTTGAGATATTGCTGAAAAAATCACAATGTAGTAGGTCGCTCGAACCCAGCCAGTGTTGGAATTATCGTCAACTCTCTCTGAAACTGACATCAACGATCACCTACAAAAGCTTTTTCTCTATCTTCGAATAACTCTTCTTACAGTGTACTTTGTCTCGGCATTTTGCTATCGCCAGAGCCCTTATCTTCGCTACCAATGACAACAATTCGACTGTAGATAGACCACAATCTACAAAAACCTCCTCAACCCAACTTTTCTTACCTGGTGGAAGGTGAAAGATACAAACAACGACTCGGAGACGACAAAACTATTTTATCTATCAGAAGCAATGCTTTCTGCAGTGGTGGGGCATTTTTGAAATCGTTGACGGTCAGATGAAATCCCAATTTGTAATATTTTCGTTTTCCTTCGTTTCATCGACCTCGTTGCTGCAGCGTAACCAGAAAAAAAGATGATAACACAGAAACTCTTTAAAGGCACAGATCAGGATAAAAAAGTCTTCTGAGTTATTACCCTGAAATCGATCTGTAGCCCTCACATACACCATGTACGGTGCTGTCAGATCGGAGAACTGCCTGGATAGGACGTTATAAAGGCTCAGGGATCGTATCGTTCGCCGTACCCATAGTGGACGAGTTTAAATGGCGTTGTAGAAGCTGCACCATTCACAAAGGAGGAACCTATGTAGGAAGTTCAAATAACTTGTCATGATCCAGGCGACAGTGGAAGACAGTTTTGAACCACATTGGCTCGATATAGTCAGCTCTTTGCGTAACTGCAACAGTTGAAATGTCGTCCGAATGCCCCTTCCATGCCGTTTGCCTCCATGGTGATCTCGTACAACTTCTAGTCTCACTACTTTGAGGATGCCTTCTTTCTCATGGGATCTGCGAAATTTCTTGCTTTCTTCGCCATTGCGATACACTGCCCTCAACCAATGCTTTCGACTTCAAAAGACTACCTCAAAATTATCGTGAACTGGGCCTTCAGTTTTTTTGCTCGCACCCCACGAATGCATTCAGAATTGCAGGAGCTTCTGACTATACATTTGTACTATGCACAGGTGATTCCTGGTGAACAATCAGTGTAGTCCTTGCCTCCCAGTCGGTACCAACAAATCGATTCAAAAAAAATGAAAGATTTACTGGCTCAGGTTGCATCTGAACATGGCATTGGTCATGAAGTGAGGTGCTCTTAGCAACGCTGGTTGACACTGTCCACTTTCCACCTTAATACTTGAAAAATAGCAGTGTAAGCGTGTATAAACTCACAGTCACTGCGTGTTTGTGCTTTTCTTCTCCAATCAGAGCTCGTAGCATTGTAATAACCGACGCTCCCTTGGCGTATGAGATATCATCGAAGGCTTCTTCAACTTCTACTGCTTTGTCAATTCTGAAGGAAAGCGGGTGACTGGAAGCTGCCGAGTCAGCTTTCAGAGCACGCTCAAGGGCACCAATTAAGAAGAAGTCGGGCTGGAAAAAGAATTAGTCTTTCATTTTTGTGACTGGCCCATTGACTGACAGGAAACCCTCCAGTATATATAAATATTATACCATGTTGAAGTAATGGTCTCCAATTTTATCCGCTCCAATGTACTCAACAAATGTTGCAAAGCCTTCGTTCAGCCATAAATCGTCCCACCATTTCATCGTGACCAAATCGCCAAACCACTGAAACAAGTACGAGATTAACTTGTACTGTTGACAGTAGAATTATATAAGGAATTCCGCATCATTCAGGAAATTCGAGTATTCTATTCCTAGAAATGGCAACTGGTTAATTCGGATTGTTGGATATGAGAAAGGGAAATGATCTGTACGGCAACCGCTCATGGTAGCACAATGGTTCCGATTTTTCCATGTTCTACCTCTTCCCCTGTTTTGTTCTGTAGTACAGCTCCCAAACCATAAAGTTTACTTTCTTCTCAGGACACGTATTAAGCTATTATACATGGGAAAGGTGTTGTACCCTACGATTTTGAAAAAAGCGTTTGGGACCGAACAAATAATCTCTTATAACGACGCCTATACATCAGGATTGTTGACGAACGGCGGCGACATTTTACCGTAAACAAAATTTACAAATTTACGTCTACTGTGTTGTAAAATTCGGGAATCGGAGGATTTTATAAAATGGCTAGAAAAAAGGGGCCCATCTTGAGTCCCTGTAATAAACGTGAACCACAAAAACTTTCATGTTTAATGCTCCCCAAACCATACTCCTCAAACTCTCGTTTTACAATAGGATCGGAAAACTTTCAATTATTTATTTATTTATTTATTTATTTATTTGAAATCCCAACTACTCATAAACTTAAAAACTTTGAAAACCAAAAAACAGCAAAAAACCTCTTAAAACTTGAACTTCAGGACACACCGGCTTGTATATGATTGGAATTTTCAGTTTTCATTGCAAATGTACCTGATGTGCAAGCTCGTGAGCAACCACAACGGCAACTCGTCGTTTATTTGTCGGCCCATAGAATTTTTCGTCGTACAACAAGGAGTTCTCTCTGAAAAGGAGTACACTGATTCAGCGAGCAGACAATCCTCTTTTGTCGAGTCCGAACCACTCTGTCAGGTTCAAGTTCTTCTAGCTCTGAACTCTGTCTCAAAGATTTGACGTCAATCTTTCCACTTTTCATACACTCAAAACTGATTTTTGTCACGAGATTATTCATACGCCGACTGACTGTCATAAGGTAGCTCTAGGGGAAATGCACATGGACGTTGAATGCACATCTTCAGTCTATTCTCTTTTTGAGCTTAATTCACTTTCCCTACTGTATCCATTTTGGCCTTTAATAACTTTGAACCACCTGCTCATAGCTTTATGTATGGTATATCTCCAGAGTCTTTCCTCGTATAAGGACGTTTTCACAACAAAATTACCTGTAAGTAATTACCTGTAAGTGATGAGACCCCAGTTCTCCATGGCTCCTGCTGAGAAATCAGGAAGAGCAATCATATCTGAAATTAGGAGCTTTCTATGAGTCAAGAATAAGGTCCATTGGAAGGCATTAGCTCTCATGGGAACTAGTTCTCGATGGAATTCACTACAAACCTTGTTTTTTCAGAGGGAATTTGATATCAAAGAAATCTTCGTAGAACTCTATGCATTTGATGCCAGAATCCAAAGCATATTTTGTCATTTCCTTTGCCTCTGGGCGTGACCATATGCGGAACTAAATGAGATCAAATGGTCAAAGAAATCCGGTGAAGTATGCAAAAACTTACTCGAACACCTTCTTTCGTACGACCTTCGACAAAGTCGAATTCTGAGATGAAAACGGCCAGCAAATAGGAAGACATTCGTGGGGTGGTTTCGAATTTGGACGTAATCCAGTCACCGCTGACATCTCTAAAATATGAACAGAGACTAGAAATCGTTGCAATCTACACAATGGCTCCTCTGGCTTTAGCTTAGGTTTGCGTGATTAATTTCCTGTAAAATTCACACAAAATCAGCTTCTACCATTCTTTGCAATGATGGTTTCGAATATTTGTGAAAATAAGTACAAAAAGGTATATTTTCCAACCCTTCTCCATTCACTTCGATGCTATTTGATGCAGCCTTGGTGCCTTTCGGATGAATCACAGTAACGGTCCAATTCGCTTTGTACTTTGGTTCGTCCATGCATGGTACCATTCGACGACCATCTATCGGTTCATTTTGAGATACGGCAGCGATCCTGAAGCCATCTGCATGTTCAGAGTGTCTTCAAAAATCATACAGTAACCCCCTCCCCCTCATCGGACACTCGATAAAAAGCCTGACTGTAACATTTCACAGAAACGAGAAATCAGTACGGGCAATTGGCTCTTGAAATAACCCTTTGGCTTGCCCGGATTACTGTAGGGGCCGAGTGCCGTACTGGATTTTCGTTTCCGTTAACATTTCAATGTACGGCTGCCCCATCCTCTTTGAGCTTTTTNTCGTGATATGTAGCTCAGTGGTGAGAAAATGATTCCAGGCAATACGATCATCATTACAAATCCAGAATGGAATAAATGTGGGGGTATAGCACAAACAAAAATAAGTTTGAAGCGCTGGTCTGAAGTCCGAATCACGTTATTGCATTTTAGTGAAAAAACCGGTTCTTGTCAGTTCAAGAATGCAGCGAAGCTTACTTTGGATTTCCATTTGCATCGGTGTACGTGGTCTGATAAATACCTCCGAGGGTGTTACTGATGAGGCCGGCATAGGTGATCTGAAAGTTAAGCGAACAATCAGTAGCTAGTCAAAGAAGAAAATTAAACAAAATTTTCAAGTTATATGGGAATCAATAACCTTTAAAAGGATTTTCTGATCTTTTCCCAAGCGTGATTTGAGGCGAAACTCCAGCTTCTCGAGCCGCTCATGCTCCTTCACACTTTCGATATCGAGTTTTTGGGTGCCCTAAAAAACTACAGTCACTTTTCCCATACCCTAACGTCTTCCGCCTCTTAAGACATCTCCTACTGTTGGAAGCATACAGGCAAAGTATCGATCAATATCATCCTACTGTTACACTACTTTCGTTTATTTCTTTTACCAATTTAAGAATATACTGTCATCCGGATCCCTGACCGGGACCGAGAATCGAATAATTTGTCGTTCAAGTTTCAGCTTATAATTCTGTAGTCTCAATGGTTCCCCATTCTGCTTAAGTCGGAACGAATTTGAATTTTTCTCATTTTAAGGGGATTTTACAAAAAAAAACCTGCGATTTGGAAGCAATCGCTACATTCAACCTCTGAAAATGTGCTTTACGACTGGAATTCTGTTCTCCATGTTATCTATCGCATATCTTTCTAAGGTCACCGAAAATCTCACCGAGAACACTTCGCATTCCTCTGGTATCACAGTGATTTTCTTTGCGTTGAGCACGATACTTTTTGTCGGTTCAATGACAACCATAGAAATTTCAACACGCCCATCAAATGTGAGATTCTTCTCTGGTGGGAAATTCACATAGCCAGGTAGATATGTTTTGATGGTCAAGTCGTACAGCACTGAAAACTGGTATTGAAGTTTACCAAGAAATTCACTAAATTTGCTCCAACTCATCACTTTCGGCGATGTTATAGGTCTTACTTTGAAGGATAATAGCTGACAAAATGGGATGGAGGTTAATGCTATTTTATGGCAAACAAGATCGTGCTCAATCACTTCGAGGAAGGAGCAGGATAGTAGCTTCTTACTTACATGGTTTTATGTTCGAAGGAAGAAGTAGTTCTGCTGCAGAAGGGGAATTGTCTTTTTCTTTACCACCGGGTTGATCTCTGAAACAGTTCTCATAAATCGAACTTCAACTGAACTGTTCTACCAATCGAACTTGAACAGGCTCATGTCTATTCTGACAGTTTTCTTTGTCTGCGGTTTTTTTCTATTTGAACGGACTTCTCTACTCATGAAGGCCGGAATGAACTTTCACTTATTATAATGTTGAGCCCTTCACAACTGTCGAGGGTCTTTACTTATTCTACAATTGTTCTAAAGGGGATGACAAAATATTGCTTTAAGCTCAGTCGTTTTGCAGTGGCGCTATTATGTTACACGATGAGTATGCTGGGTTTCAGGGCCAGACCATGACAGCTCTTAACTTACGTATCGTATGCTACCACTTACCGGTTTGGCCGAGTAACTTCTTATACAACTAGTAAAGGGAATTTGGATTTCCCCAAGCTCTGACCTCCTCAAATGTTACGTGAATCAGCCATAGCGGAACAAAAGGGGTTACGATGTGCTATCAGTACTGTTTGTTATAGTTTTTCTACTGCCATCATTTTTTTCTGACCAGGAAGAGGGTTGTTATTCTTCCATCCATCGATCTACTCTCTGGTTTCATGTGTGTGGCCAGGAAGTCCTTGTCCCGGAGCCACCATGACTCATGACTTGTCAAGAGGCAAATGGTATCATGGTCTGCCGATGGAGGTAAGTGTCGGTGGTCCCATGGTTCGTTTTTTGGGAGTAGTGTTATGGCTCCTAACTACCATGCGGACTAATGGGATCTGTTGCTGTTTCTGAACTCATTTTTTGAATTACGCCATTATCTTTGTCCCATGAACTAAAATGGTTAGTGGACTGCCTCCTGCCTCACCTAGTCGTGCATACAGGGCCAACGGTTGAATGCTTCGGTTTTTTTTCTGCTGTGACCCTTCTGCTTCCATACTTTTTTCCTTCATATATCAATGTTTCATTGATTTCGACTTAAATGAGCATTTTTCCCTATTTAAATGAAAATAATTATGCTCACTTGTCTTTTTGGGTTGGATCAAATGCTTTCCGAGTAAAGAAATAAGTGAGGCCGATAGCCAGACCTACTGCAGCAGCCACTGCAAACATTGCGAAAGCCAGGCTGAATGGTGTGAATTCCACCAGTGACCGTTTCCTCTCTCGTGCCGTCATCTGAACAATATTTTTTGGGAAAAGTTGATACATCAAACAAAAAAATCCGAACAATCTTGAGAGAGAAAAGTTAGACCTTATTGCAAGGTTGAGCTTATCAATCCTGGTTCATAAGAAAGTCAGTTGAAGTAATGACTACAGCAGACATTGAAAGGTAAACTCAAGGACTGAAGATTGTATGTACAAAAAGAATAGGTTCAAAAAGTATTAAGGCGATGGTCGATCGTTGCAGTGAAAGTGAGATATGAGGGAGAAGGTTCAACAGAGAAGAAACCGGTCTCGGTACATTCAAAACTACCTAGTGAACGCAGAAAGAGTAGCTTTCTCACTATCCTGCTTTAACACCAATAACGGAATGATTTAGAGAAAGGCATAGAAAAGGCTGATTTCTATCAATCAGTATGCTATCGAAAAAGAACATATCAACAGGACCGAAATCAAAGAGCACACAGTAGAAGATTGTGATAAAACGACGCTTGATAGCCCGCTGACACAGTGCTCTGAGTAAAAACAATGTTGAAGCAATTGTAAGTTCACCCTCGACATTCAGTATTCAGGAGTTCATTTCTCTGCTTTGGCCATGAGTATAGCATCCGAGCAGGTCAGTACTATGCGAAGATTTTCCATTGTGGAGCAATGGCCAAGGATGTAGTCCATATCCACATTGTCCATAGACTGGAGCACCGGCGGGATTTCAATTGGGTCAACCATGCTTTCAAAAACCCTAGAGGTCGTCGCATAATCGAATTAGTTGCCGTAGGGGAGCGAGCTTCAATTTCTGTCAGATAACGCATATTTTTTTCTGAATTGAACTCAATGGAGTCGAAATGCCCCCCAATTGACCTTCATTTGAAATTGCAGAAGCACTCAAATACCTATGTGGCTGAATGTACGAGCTAGTGCATCTGCCCTCCCAGACACTTCTGGTACTGTATAGTCGACTCTGGGGGGATGGAGATGGAAGGTTTGGCTGAATAAGCTGCGATCCACAGTTCAGTGTATGACCGTGCGCCACTTGGTACTGAATCATCTTCATCCGCAATTCGATATAAAATTTTATATCATTACATTAAGTCCCTACCGTATCAATGTTACAAATGGGTTTCAAATAATTTCAACTATTTCCCAGTTTGCTAGTCGAATGTCTTTTCAAAGGCAGGAACGACCGGCAATGTCTGAAAGAAAAGTTAGGAAATTAATCTCCCCTCTCCTTCCACCCACACCACCCCGAAAAAAAAACTGTCCTTCCAACCATACCACCCAAAAAAAAAGAAAATTTTGATAAATAATTGCATAATCAACTTATGCACTGGTGGGCCATCATAGGGCTGCTTTGAGTACGAGCATGATGAATCTCATGAGAGAGATAACTGATACTACCTGGTCTTCCACTGCATAACCATATGGCCTATTTAGGATGTCAAATAAATTCAACAGCAAAAATAAGCAATAAAGAATTCGATTAACGTCGAGGGCTGCATATCAAAAAGATTAAGTACTTTCCTACGTCGAAGTCACTGATAAAAGATAGGAATGATATGCAGAATAACGTGCAGAAGTGCAGCAATTCATTTGTCATATGACAGAGAGATACCAGGGATTCTGACACTATGCAAGCTTTTTGAAGAAACAAGAGGAAAAAAGCTGATAACGCAAGAGGAAAAAAGCTGATACAAGAGGAAAAAAGCTGATAACGTGACTTGAGGGTTTGATAAATATGGGAGAGCAGCAGCACTAGACCCGTTCAGTGAGACCTTGATTGCATGATGGTGAAGTCGCACTAGACCCGTTCAGTGAGACCTTGATTGCATGATGGTGAAGTCGATTAGGTCTGCAAGAACTGATGACCAGTAAACATACCTATCAGATTTCATTTATTCAGAAGTACCGACAAAACTGCAGCAGAAAAATGGCTCTCATCCTGAGAAATAGCACGTGCCGACCCTTTTTTGTCTTATACTTCCATCACACAGGAATTGATCTTAGCTTTTGGGAGATGAGTAGCAGTTACTTTGACGAGGCAAAGGGGAAGTGAAGTTTAGGACAAACTCGACTCTATCAAGTATGAAAATTTATCATATGAGCAA